GTAAAATGATGATATTTTTCATTTGGGAAGTCCTTTTTCGAAACCAGTCATTGTAGCATGTTTATTATCACGTCTACAATCATTCCCCAAAGTTTTACATTTTTTGGAATTTATTTGATATTTTTAAACAGGGTTTTAAAATCAGCTCTAAAACCGATTTTTCTAGAATGTCAGTTTTCGGTCGACCGGTACGGTCGACCGGTCAATTGACCATTCGTCAGTATTTTTCCAGAGAGTCATCGGTCGACCGGTCCGGTCGACCGAGAGCTCAAATCGGTCGACCGACAGAATTTCCGGTCGACCGACAGGGTTTTAAAATCAGAAAATCAACTTTCAAACATGTTTTCTCATATGTTAGTTTACGGTCAACCGCCACGGTCGACCGCGTCTTTTATTTTCCCTGTGGAGCCATCAACAACATTCGCGATCGACCGTCATGGTCGACCGTCAGCTCGAAAATTCCCACGGTCGACCGTCTAACTTTTTGGAAATTTCTCAGGCTAGAAAGTGGCTTACGATCGACTGCGAAAATTTCACGGTCGATCGCCGTTCACCCCAACAATCATTTTGGTACAGAATTAGATTTTTGATTCTTGGACCTTTTGGTCTTTTCCTTTAGGGTTTTGGCTGAGATTTTGGGAGGCTATATATACCCCCTTGCTCTCATATTTCATGGACAACAATGAGAATATTTTAAACAAGTTTAACAATGGTTTTAAAGTTTGTTTTGTGTGTTTTAAAAGAGTTTGGTTTTGTGAAGACTGTTTCACAAGTGGAGGAGATCATCTATATTGTTTGGGCTTCATCTTAATCCATCTCTCCATCTTATTTTTTCAGAGAAGAATTTCTAAACTCATATCTAGCTTTACATTTGCATATTTGTTTTGATTATCATTCTTTAAAGCTAGTTTTTATATTGAGTTTAGATTTGATTATATTATCTCATTGTTACACACACCCACTTGAGCTTTTAGTATTTACATACATAGTATAGTTGGGTGGTGAGAGATTGTAACCTTGAGTTGTGCTTTCATTGTGTTCTCATCTATTGTAGAGAACAAATTTATATTTGTTACATTGTGAGTGGTGTAAGGTTTTCGGTGAGCTAGAAAACCGAGTGTGTTGTGAAGTTTTCGGTGAACTAGAAAACCGATTGTGAGGAGTGACGTTGATCGGTGAGCGTTGAAAACCGACACTGTGAGGTGTAAACGTTATTCGGGTGAACGTAGAAAACCCGGTTGTGATAGTGGATTTCTCCCCGGGAGTGGGGAGCGGAGACGTAGGACGGAAGGTCCGAACTCCGTGATCATATCTTGTGTTTGAGTGTGCTTTGGCGTTTATTTATACTTGTGTTTATAATTCTTGTCGCCATTGTCATTAGCTCATTATTTATATGATCCACTATCTAGTTCATATTGTTTACCCTTGTGTTAGTTTATATATCCTTGCATATATCATATAGTATACCTCTTTGCTAGGATATATCACCTTGTGTATATTGCATATTCTTGCACTTAACTATTTGTATATCTATCTTGCAAGAATATAACTTGTTAATATATTAATTGGCATAAAATCGGATTAGATTAGCATAAGACCTTAATCACCCCCCTCTAGGGTCTAACAATCTTAAGATACAGTTTGTATCTTAGAGTACATTATATCCTACAATAAATTAACTTGAAGTGTACCTGAGGTAAAACCTGAAGAAATTTTAGCTTCAATTACGGTTTGCGGATTGCAAAAATGATATAATCTTTCAATAAAAGAAAATGAACAAATCTGAAATACACCATTGGCAATAGAGACAAATATAAAATTCACCACTATGCTCAACTTTCCTTCACCGCTCACTGTTGAGAAGGTAATCGATTACTTGGAACTTGCTTAAAATCTCACTTCCCAACCCAATGAGCCACGACCAAAAAATTGAAAGTCAGAAAGGTACATTCCCCTTCCTCATTTTCTTTTGTGTCTATGCCGACTTTTGCATTTCCCCAACATATGGACAAGAAGTTGCTTTTGCCTCACCATGATCCAGTAGTATTTTCCTAAGTTTGGTGTTCCCATTGCTGTGTTATTTTCAATAGTATATTCCCAGATACAGTTCCTAATTTCATTTTCTAGTTGAGCTCGTTTAAAGAAAAACATGCATTATAAGGTAATTAAACATTGTGGAACAGTGCCCTATTGGATCTTCTTCTACTTTTTTCTCCTTTCATCATATTTTCCTAATTTTTATGTTCCTGATAGTGGACTATTTCCCCTTTCTGGATGAAAAAACTGAATAGTATGTTTCCAAATATAATACATGTTTTCCATTTCCTAGTTTAGCTTGTTTAGAGAACAATGAGCATTCTAAATATCTCTGAAGAGTGATCTATTAGACCTCCTTTACTTTTTCTCTTTTCTTTCGTACTAATGTTAAGTATTTTACATTATCTTTTAATAAAGTTTGATTTTGTAAATTATTTTAGTAAAATAACCTAAGTATTGGTTAATGGATGAGATGTCCCATAATAGAATGGAATGGAAGAATATGATTCATGTAGCGACCCTAAACATTTGGAATAAAGGCTTTAATGATAACGATGATGTTGTTGTAAATTTAAGTTGACAGTAGTCATTAAATGTCACATCTCATGTTTGTCAACATTTATAGCTTGATATTAACCTTGATTTATAGTTTAACTATCTCACTTCATGTTTCAATTGATTTGATTCAGTTGATTTATAGGGAAGCAAGTTGTCTACCTATTTTTTGGGTTATCAAGTGTTCTGTGCTATAAGTTTGAAATATTTGCTTGATAAAAGTTGCACAGCCTATTACCTATTCAGATATGGAATTATTCACCTTACAATACAACAAGTGATACAAGAAACATTGAAAATTCAAAACAATAGCATACAGGTATCCCAATTTGGCATCCTTGTTCATTATAAAAGAATTCCCTTAACTGATATGTGTGGGGCGTTTCTAATATCATTATGAAAGAATTCCCTTTCGTGATCTCTGCATATTTCAAAGATGTAATAATTCTGTGATATATTTCAATAATATCTACCAGTTAAGCATATAAATAAATACCTTAAATTAAATCCTTGTATATTACACTTATACATTCTACAGCAACACTTTGAGACATTGTAGGCTTTAGGTCTTAAATACTAATTAAAAGATTATAAAGGAGTTTCTATATACATTATTGAAACACTTCCGAACCTGGATAATCTTGAAATAAGATAGTCCAAGCAACTAAAAGGAACATTCATAATTTGACCTCGGGAATACTTATGATTGTACTAGCAATTTTACCACTTATACACTAGCTCCGTTTGGATGTCATGGTGTTTTACTTGTTTCCACGGTGTTTTTGCCAAAAACAATATACCATGCGTTTGGAAACCATGGTGTTTTTTGAGCTAAATCATCCTCAAACCAAAAACACAACACTTATTTCAAAACACCTAAAATGTGTTTTAAGTTGGGTGTTTTGATTTTGAGTTTGAGAATGTGTTAATATAATATTTAACATAATATATTAAATGTAATTAATATATAGTTATTATCAACATGCTTATTATACTATATTATACTATTCTATAATATACTATATTATAGTTAATCTAATATATAAGTAATATTAATTAAATAATATAAAATATAATAAATAAAATATCTTATATAACAATATAATAACATATTAATTACTAGAATTTAATATGTTAACAATGTATTATATAATAATAAAATATAGTAAAATATAAATAAACTAATAAAAAATAATAACAAATTTATTGATAAATAATAATAATATAGTAATGATATAATAATATACTACACAATAGCATAATCGCTATAATATAATTAACTTTTTAATAAATAAATTGTAATAAATTAATAATTATAAAATGTTATATAATAGTAACATATTTAAAAATATAATAATAATATATTGTATAGTAAATGTAATATAATATATAAAATCTTAATATATTATATAATAAATAAAATAATTTATTGCTAACAAATAATAGTAAAAATAATATATTCATAATTTTATATATTTATTTATATAATAAATTATTAATATATTATTAAATTACTATTATAAACTCTTAACATATTAAAGACGCATAATATATTTACATAATATTAAATATTTTTAATGTTTAATTTATTAAACATAACTAGTAATGGCATAATATTAACATTATAAATAATATTATATTATATGAATAATAGTAATTATATATATTATAATAGTATAATATTATTAATAATTAAATAACATATTATGAAAATACTTAATATAATATATAACAATAACAAATTGATATACCAAATAATTATATATATAATTATTTAAAATAATATATGTAATAATTATAATATAATTAAGGCTCATAAGAAAATATAATATTATAATACATTATACAACTTTATATTGCATTATATTTAATAATTCTAATACTATAATAATGTAAACAAAATATTTTAACATTTTATTTACAATATATTTTATTATAATTAATATATTAATAATATGTTTAATATAAATGTTATAATGAGTCAAACTAGTATTGATAAAAAATACTTAACATGGTGTTTTGAAAACGTTTGAAGGGAAAAACACAACACCATGGTGTTTTTTTACAAAAACACAAAAAAAACACAATGGTACCCAAACGAAGCCTTATAACTATCGATCATTGAACATCCTTCCATATCTAAACATTTGTAAACTGATAACCTGAAAGCAATAAACTCTCACCATATGTGAAGGAAAGCTCATGCTTTGTCTAATGTGCAAAACCTAGGCATAGATCTAGAAGCACAATCCATCTGTCATTTTCATATAGATGAATGGGAAACCATAATCCACAACACTTTGTGCATTATAATACTTGAAACTTGAAACAACAGCATGATAACATAAGAATTTAAATCACAATCAAATAAAACGAGAGCGATTGTTGAAAAAAGTTGAGTAATATACCAAAAGGAACTTCTCCCATAATTTTTCAAATGGCAATGAACCTGGTGTCAAGAACATGAAGGCAATCTTTGGATTCTTTGATTGAACGGATGGCATCGAAATAATATCTCTGGCAACAATACGGGCAGCAAGCTCGTCATCAGTATATTCTCTAGCTGGTTCGGGAGGAAGCCAGTCCTTGAAAGGACTACAGACGTTCGAGGACAAGAAGTAGCAAGCCGAGAAACTTTGTGGCGGGTAAATATAAGCCCCAATTAGGGACAAGCACACCAAGCAAAGCAAGACAATGATCCAAATAGGTCTTTTCGATGGAGGTCTGTGGCGCGGTGTAGGCATTATTTGTATATCTGTGGTGCCTATCGACCACGCCTTTGATGACTTCATTTAGAATACCGTAACAGCAAGATCATCTCCATCTATGTAGTCTTCAAAAATATAACCCTATACGGCACCTATTTGGTATAAATCTAACAGTGAACTCTTCCCAATGTCTTTAAAAAAATCTGAAACACCAAATAAAACAACATCTAATATATATATCATATCTCAGCATTTCCCTCTACAAAATTTAAAAGCTAGAGTTATAGTTTTTAAATTAAATCTTTTATTAAATTGATATGCTTGCTGCAAGAAAATGAGGTCGAAAGAAAGTTGATGAACCACCAAAAGTAAGTTAAAAATAAAAAAAATTATAACAAACATCAAACAGAAAAAACAACAGAATTCACGGATTGTGAGAGAAATTAATTCTTCGATTTTTCAGTGACCGGAAACTTTTACCTAACCTTTTCAGAAAACAAGATGCAAACAACAAAAGGGGAGAGAAAAAAAATTAAAAGATAGGGTTTAAGCTAGTTCTTCTATCTTATATTCTTGTTGTTGTTTTCTCCAGCAATATTTTCAAACAGTGGCTCCTTAAAGTCATTTACTAGTAATCTTAACGCCACTCTCTCATTCAATTCAAAAACGTCTCAAAAGTAAACATCGAAATTATTAGATCAAATTCAAATGAATTTTGAACTAAAAATAACAGAAGAAAATAAAAAGATCAAAACCTAACCTTTTCAAAAAAAACACAAAAAACAAAAACAAAAATGCAAACAGCAAAAGTGGGGGAAAATAAAGATAGGGTTTAAGCTACTACCCTTAAATTAAATCCTTGCTACAGTTTTTTATTTTCCAGCAACATTTTCAAACAGCAGCTCATTAAACTCATTTGTTTACTGCTAATCTTAATGTCACTCTCATTCAATTTAAAACATCAAGTCTATTAATTTGAGCTAAAACCTAAGCAATCGACAAAAAAATCGAAGTAATTTGAACTGGAAATTGAGTCAAAAGGTCAAATAAAAAGAGCACCTTTAAGATCGGAGGCGAGAAAAGAGGGGAGAAGAGGGAGATCTGGATCCTGTTAGCGATCTGATAGGGCAAACAGCAGCAGAGAACAGCCAATCAGAAATCAGAAAGCGGAGAGTTTTTAAATTGGCTGTTGCTATTAATAGAAAATTATTTTATTTTAAGGAAGAGCCGAAGAGGGGGTTTGTTTTCTTTGTTCTGTCTCTCATCGATCGGTGTTTGCGCTAAATAATAGCAATTTATTGTAGCTGTAATAAAATAGCCATTTTCACCCTGCCTTTCTTAGAATTTGAAAGTTGGACATCAACGGGCTCCATTATTGGCAAAACTCTCTGTTTGGCAACTAACTAAAATTGAAATTAACTTAGAGCTTTAGATTTGCACCTATAGTGCAAGAAAGTTAAGGAAACATAGGATAAGTTATGTTAAATAAAAGTAAGGAAATATGTAAAACTTGTTTGAGAAATTAATAAGGAGAGTCAAGGAAAACTTATTTCACCCCATTTGGAAGTCTAATAAAGTGAGGCAAAGATAAGAAAATATATAAAAATTTATATAAATACCTTAAATGTTATTTTATCCCTTTAAATCTCATCTTGATATAGGTGGCACAATTGCCTTTGTACATTAATATTTTTTTAAGAGTTATATTCTTCTAACTTCCCCTTCATTACATCCCAATTTTGGGGGAACAAAATTTAAATTATTTCCCTTCCCATTACCTTAACTTCCTCCTCATTAACTATCTCAAATGATTTCTGAAACAAGGATAATGTATCTCGTACTTACCCTTTACTTATATTACCCCAATCTAAACAAGCTTTTCAATTTCATAAAACCGGTTTGCAATTAGATTAGAGGACAAAAAAAATCATACTCCCTTTAAAAGTATGAGTTTAGGAAATGCTTTCCATGGTCAATATTATCCTTTAATAATTTGAATATTTCATTGAAATCTTAATCTATCATAATCATAATTATATCATAAACTAATCTCACGTGAACTATCTATAGCTCAACAATTTAAAAAATAATATCAATAAAATATATAAAACAGCTTTATGGCATTAGTTTGATAAGGTAAAGAAATTTTTTTATATAACATACTATAATACATGAAGTATTGCAAACAACCTCAAAAAGTTTTAAAATTGCACAAAATACCCTTAAAGTTTAAAATTATTAAAAAAGCATTACGACATTTCAAAACCAAAAACAACAAACATGAAATTAAGAAACTAACAGCAACCTGCGAGGAATCTAAAATTTGTAGTTAACACCCTCAATTTCTTAAAAATTATAGAAACACTCTCAATAGTTCATATTATAAACAAGTACCCTGAAATTCTAAAATTTTAAAACTTCCAAACAACATAGATGAATTCACGGGATTTTCATAATGCATCTGAAAGATTCTAACATTTCAAAACTTAAAACAACAAATATAAAATTAATAAATTAACAAAATATAAAATTAATAAATTAACAATAGTCTTTGAAGAATTTAAAATTTTAGATTAACATCCTCAATATCAAAAATTATAGAAATACCCTCAAAAAGTTCAAATTATCAAAAAACACCTTAAAATTCTAAAATCTTAAAACTTGAAAATAACATTAATGGATTCAATAGATTACCATTAGGCACCTAAAATTTTAAAATTTGCCAAAACTAACCTCAAAGTTATAAAAATTACAAAAAAATCCTTCAAAAGTTAAAAATCATAAAAACTCTAAATTTTCAAAATTTATAACCAATACAAATCAGATCTGAAAACTATTTGCAGACCACTAAAATCTATTTTTTTTTAAATAACTCAAAATTTTAATAATTGTAAAAAGCACACTCGATATTTTAAAGTTGCAAGAAATATCTTGATATTTGAAAATTACCACCAACAAATGAAACATAGAAGCGAGAACTACCAAACTTAAAAAATAATTTTTTTTTAAAAGACACTCCCAAAGTTTTAAAAATTACAAATCACGCCCTCAAAGTTCAAAACCACAAAAAGGGCTGAAATTTCAAAACTTAGCAAAAAGAAAGCGTGTTGTTTAGTAATTTTCATTAAGAGTTTAATATATATATATATATTTATATATATATATATATATAATAATATTAATATATACTATACATATATATATGAGATTAATGGGTATCCTTGTCATAAGGAGGAGGGGATTTCCTCCTTGACGCCTCTAAAATCACATGATTGAGCGACATTGTGGATGATCCGGCTTCGTTGAACTTGATCTACATATTCTAAAATCCCAACACACCAAGTTTGGGGTGAACCCGTCGTCGTTTTGACCCTTCATTCACTCGTATCAATTTTAACGGTTTTGAATGAATAGAACTTTTCACATGGCTCGATGAGGGTGCCAAACGACGACGGATTCACCCAAACTTGGTGTGGTTGGGGTTTTAGGAATATGTAGATCAAGTCAACGGAGGGCGGATCATCCATAATGTCGCTCAATCATGTGATTTTAGAGGCGTCAAGGAGGAAATCCTCCTATGATAAGGATACCCATTAATCTCATATATATATATATATATACACACACACACACACACACACACACATCACACACAACACACACCAACACATCCATACAATAATTAAAAATAGTCTATGTTGATGGCGGTAAGAAAAGCAATAAGAATTGATTAAAAATATCGGGTTAAGGAATAAAAATTTAAAAAATATATGATAGCTTAAAAATTATTGATGCTGGTAAGAAAAGCAATAAGAATTGATTAAAAATATCAGGTTAAGGAATAAAAATTTAAAAAAATATATGATAGCTTAAAAATTATCATCATTGTAAAAATCAAAGTAACTACATATAATTTTACTAAGAATTCGAAGCAGGAAAAATACATAAGTAATGTTATTTGATAAAAGATTAAATCCATGAAAGTGATAAAAGACTGTAATATAATAACTTAGTATTAATTGATTATAATTTAGAAATAATAATCTCTAATGTTAATAATATTTATAGAGTAAAAGAATATAAGGAATTGCATATAGAGAAACTATCGGAGTATTCAGAGATATCCTTAAAGAGAATTAAACTATTTTTATTTCAAATGGGAAAGTGAAAGAAATAAATCTAAAATTCAGAAAACGTATAAGTTACAACTACCAAATTTAAAAATAATATTTTTTTAAAGAAAATCCCAAAGTTTTAAAAATTGCAAGTCACACCCTCAAAGTTCAAAACCACAAAAAGGGTTGAAAGTTTAAAATTTGGCAAAGAAAATCGCAATTGTTTGGTATTCTTTCATTAAGATGTGTGTGTGTGTGTGTGTATGTGTATTAATTTAGGGTTCACCAACCCTTTCAGCATCTAAAAATAGTCTAAGTTGATGCTTGTCAAAAAAGCAATAAGAATTGATTAAAAACACCCAGGTAAGGAATAAAAATTTGAAAAATATATGATAGCTTAAAAACTATCGTCACTATAAAAATCAAAATAACTATATATAATTTTACTAAGAAGTCAGAGTAGCAAAAATACATAAGTAACATTAATTGATAGAAGATTAAATCCATAAAACTGATTAAATACTATAATATAATAGCTTAGCATTAAATAATTATAATTTAGAACAGTAATCTCTAATGTTAATAATATTTATAGAGTAAAATAATACAAGTAATTGCATGTAAAACCCCAAAAATTTGAGATAATATAATTAATATGTGATTAATTATTATAAGTGGATATTTATGAGATAAATATCATTAAATAGTGTATGAGTACACTAACAAGTGTTTTGAGTATAAACGAGTTCATACAATGAGATAAATATCATTAAATAGTGTATGAGTACACTAACAAGTGTTTTGAGTATAAACGAGTTCATACATGAGAATAGAACGAGTAGTACACTAACAAGTGTTTTGAGTATAAACGAGTTCATACATGAGAATAGAACGAGTCAAAAACATACACGAAGACCAAATCTTGAGAAACTAGAATTTCCTAGGCGAAACCTGTATCATGTTTTCCTTTTTCAACCTGGTTTCAGGTATTTAGAGGCCCATGTTCGTTTCTCTGATATATATATATCATATTTTCATGAGGTTTTCAGTATTATTTCATACTTTTGAAACCCTAGCAGCCACCTAACAATTCTACTAACCCTAAGATGATTTTTGAAAGAGTTTAAGGGCATTTGGAGCTGGATTTCAGTTTGTTTTGGATTTTGGCTTGGAGATCTACATTGGCATTGCATCTTGCACGTTTTTTAATAAGTCTCGGGCGAGTTTCATCTCTACTAACCCTACTCTCATGTTTCTAGATGTTTTTAATGAGTTTTAATGTGATTTTATTGAGCCTAATCGACTAATTTGAGTATAAAAGCAATCCTTTTGTATTATATGAATAAAGACCAGGTCTTTCCGTGTTTAAAAGATAAAGAACGATTTTACAGAGATGTTTTAAGACCTAAAAGTATTTAACAATGTTGTTTAACTGAGTTTTGATAATTTATTCTTTGTATCGACGTTTCGTGCATGTTTAAGAGTTTAAATATGATTTTTATGCGATTAATCATGTTTCACACATGAAATAATTTCCTGAACTGTTAATCTGATGTTTATAATGTTCTATACAAGTTTTATGATTTATTAACCAAGTTAGATCACGAAAAACACGCACGAACACAGGTATCAAAAAGCCTGCAGTGCAGGCTGCTGTTTGATGTCCGGTCGACCGCCGCTTATGTGCGGTCGACCGCGTGCTAGGACGAAGCTTGGGTAGCTTCTGGACCATAACGTGGTCAACCGCTGCTTTATCATGGTCGACCGCTAGTCAGGCAGAAACATGTGCATGTTATTGACTCCTGTTTCTATTTTTGAGCGATTTTCTCGATCTTTTCAAGTTATACTATGGTACTTATGAGCTGTTTGAGCAACTGTGGTGTTGGTGAACACCAGATATTAACACCTACATCGAGAATTATGCATGTACACTTAGTATGTATTGTTTTGACATGTTTTGTCGAGATATTTGACACACGTTAAGTTGATGAAAGTGAAATAGTATATGATAAAGCATTGCTCATCATTTATGGATGCTCAGTGTGGTTGTTTATCCTGTAATGAGACCTCGGTAGTACCACACTAAGAGTATTTGGTTGTTTTTCCCATAATGAGACCTTAGTGGTACCAAATACTCGAAGGTAATCGGTG